GTATAAGAGACAGAATTCGAAGTGAACACGATAAACGTACGTGTTTATATGTACATAAAATAAAATATGTGAGAATGCTTTATATGTATGCATAGGTATGAGAGAGATCTATATATTTTCATAAAACAGAAAATAAATCTAATTATTATTCTACTTATATCAAAGAGTTTATTTATTACCTTTTTACCTTCCTAAAATCTCCAGTCAATCACAACGGCTTAATTTCTGAAATATTGAATTTTGGCCTTTTAAGCTGTAATATTTTTGCTTTCTAAAGCAAGAAATGATCAAATAGAATTAAAGTCAAGTTACAGGCCAAATGAGTTGGCTATAGTCATTACATTTTCAGTCATTCAACGATATTATCCGAAACAATATATACTTTTCAACAAAATTAAAGCATCACTTACTCTACCTTTCAAAAATAGGCAAAATTCAAGAGAGTGTAACTTCGTCAAAAATGATCGGTATCGAGATGTTCAAAAAAGCATTTTGCAGCTTGAAATCTCTACTTTCTAAATCGATACTTTAGAAAACGATCCTACTGATGTTTCATGGAGTTACACTGATAGAAAAATAGACCCGACGAATCTCAAAATTTTTTATAAACTTTGACAAGTTTTATGGCGCAAATTAAAAATCGCATGCAAATGCAATTTACAGCTTTCAAAACTCGTAGAAAGAACTCTGACCCTAGAAAGAGAGACTCACACATGACTTATTATACATATAATTTAATTTTTAACGAGAAAAAAATTAATGGGTTCCTCTTTTTCTCCGTTGCACGGCTAGGATAAAAAATCGTAATTGCTTGCTGTTAATTATTATAAACTTCTGATACACATTACGGTAATCTAACAGATAATTTAATACGCGAAATAGGCAAAACAATTCCGTAATTAACTGAACTGTTAAATATAATGTGATGTTTGCTTAAATTACCTTTAGCCGATTTCTCTCGAGGTGTAATAATCTAAATAGAAACAGTCCAGGGGTTGGTAAATAACTGACACAACTTATTTAAAATAAAATATCGCAGGGGCCAGCAAAAAATTCATACAACTTATTTAAAATTAAAAATATAAAATATATTTTCCAAAAACGTATTTAAAATATATTTAACATATAATATAAAAACGTATTTAAATAAGAAATATATTAGAAGAAGCTATTTAGAATAATAAATACTAAATAATTCTTTTATTTTTTTATTTAAAATACATGATTTTAAATAATAATATTATAAATACGACCCCTGGATAACACGCAACCGTGTAAAAATATTTAACCAGTGAACTATATTTGACTATTCGATTCACTATATTATGACAAATCTTTTCTTTTGTTCATTCTAACGATATGTTACATATGTATATTAAGACGATGTATATTAAGATGATAATTCTTTGTATGGTATCATCTTTAACATATAGCATTTAATATGTACTTGTATTAAAAAATCTTTAATTTAAAAAATATATATAATTAATTTATGTGATATGAAGTTTTGCGAGAAATAGAAAGAAAAAGAAAGACGACAAAAAGAAGAATGTGGCATATATAATACACGATTAGCACGGACATGAACCACGTTCTAATGCTATGATTTGATCGACAATGTTATAAGATAGACGTAGTACGTAGTTCCTTTTTTGAAAACGTGGAGGCTAATGTACGGGGGAGATCGCCGGTGCCACCCAAAAAGCCGGCGTGGCCTCTCTCGAGTTTATAGACATGTGGAGGGGGAATGTTGGCTCGAAAACTGTATCCAAGATGTGTGCGGGAGAGAAAGGTAGACGAGTAATATTCGTCCTCTCTGCGCATGCGTCGATCATTCGACAGACAGAGAGGACGAAGTATCACGTGGTATCGCTCGTATACCTTTCTCTCTCGCACACCTTACCACTCTTGGACTCACTTACGGCCTACAAAGAACAAAGGCATTTCACCTCCATGTACTATACATGGCATAGGAATATAAGGGGACAGAGCATATTATTGCGGGGGGGAAAGTAGTGCGGGATGGTGCGACGAGGTAACTAATTGCGAGGTAACTTGATTGGTTGTTAGTGTCCGTGTGATACACACATATATAACAGACCTATAATAGACCGATTTTTGCTGTGGAGAGGGTGAACTGGGACCAATAAGAGTGAACTGGGCATCAATGGGCACCAATTTGCCCCCGGATTTTGGCTTCACTCCCCTCGCCTAAGTTACGACTTTATTCTCCGTCCCCTTATATTCCTACGTCCATGGTACTATATACTCAAAGCAAAAAGGATCCTGAGAGCGGTCATGCCCGCGATTTAGCTGCGATGGCGATTGAGCTGGTTTCAGCGCCTCTGGAAAGTGGACATTGAACTACCAACTAGAGAGATCAATGAGAAGCACGCGTTGGACGGAAAGCGTGCTTCTCATTGGTCTCTCTAGTTGGTAGTTCAATGTCCACTTTCCAGAGGCGCTGAAACCAGCTCAATCGCCATCGCATCGCAGCTAAATCGCGGACATGACCGCTCTTAGAATCCTCTCTGGTACTGCCCATTGCTTGGCTGACATATGGCATGTTCAGTCTATACTAGTATGTAGATGTCTATGGTATAGCTAGATCAAATGGATTAAATTTGTCACTGATAAAATATTAATAACAAATATTTAGTTGATATGTTTGCAATTATATTTTAATAAAATAATTTTTTTTTGTATAATAAAATTTTCAAAACTTGATATTATTTGTACTGTGAAAAATATATCAAACATTTATGTTGTTTTTAGGTTAGATTAGGTTAGAAGATTTATCCTGTTTATTTGAAATTTGATGAGAATACACATTTATGTAATTTTATAACGATTTATAATTTTTGAGAAAATAAGATTTAAAAAAAATCACAGTTGACTTTCTTTTTCTTTGCAAAAATTTAAAATAGTAATTAAATATTAAAAGAAACTGATTTACTAATGGTTACAAAATCTCTGATAGAATACAAATATAAGAGAAATAATTGCGAATAATTAATAATTTTATATCTTGACATATTATAAGCAGGTAAATGTCATTTTCAATATTTTCAATAATTCATGTAAGTCTATATTACTAATCAGTTTATTAATTAAAGTTCTAATCTAATCTAGCTTAAAGCTTTTTAAGTTAATTAAATTCTAGCTTTTAACCATTAATTATTTTTTATAATGTTCAATGATTATTTGATTATTATAACTTTTTAAATTTTTATTTTTTGACAAATATGATATAATCTTTTATCAAAATCTATAAATGATAGTTTTGGAAATTAATAATTGTTATCAAAATTGTATTACAAATACTATGAATGTTTCTTATGATATTTATAACATTAAAAAAATTATATTAGGTATATAGATATATTTCACATATAAATTCAAAATTTTAATTTTATGATAATGAATGTACATCAGTGTTTTATTCCCATAAGAAATCATGTATGCGTTTTATCAAAATGCTATACAAAAAGTGTAAAACATCAGACAGCAGGAATAATTGGTTAGAAATATAACATACTACAAATGAAAATTTAAAACAGTTATTGTATATTCTAATAATAAATTTGAATTTATAAATTTCTAGTTATTGGAGATGAAATATTGAAAGCTCAAGTAAAAGATACAAATTCGTACTACATGTGTAATTTATTATACAAATGTGGTATTAAAGTAAAAAAGGTAAACAAGTAATATAATAATTATGTACTTGATACTTCATATGCCTTATTATAATATATAACTGACTTGTTTATTTTTATTATAATAATAATACTGATCAATTTGCTTTATAGATTTCTGTCATAAGCGACGATGTTGAAGAAATCTCAGAAGAAATTAAAGATGCCTCCAACAAATATACTTATGTTATAACATCTGGTGGAATTGGACCAACGCATGATGACGTTACATATAAAGGTAAATATTTTGTTTGTACCAAATTATACTATTTTCTTAATATGTTATAATCTACAGGTCTTGCCAAAGCTTTTAATGATAAGTTACATTATCATCCCAAATTAGTAGATATAATAAAAAATTATTTTGGGATCAATGATGCTTTATCTCCTGTTTATAAGATAGCTCAGATTCCTCAGAAAGCATCTCTAAAGTTTGGTTTAAATACAAACACAAGCAAACCAAATATTTATCCATACGTTGTATTAGAAAATGTGTACGTTTTTCCTGGTTCACCTGTGTTTCTTGAAAAATCCTTCCAAAGTTTATATGAGGTAACTTTTAAATATTTTAATAAAAAACATTTTATTAACTTTTTTAAATTAAGCTGTATTGTTATTTTTTATTATATAGGAATTACTTTCTACAAACCAGAGATTTGTAAAGGAAGAAGTATTTATTAATGTTAGAGAAGATTTATTTGCAAATGCTTTATCAACTGTAGTACAAGAATTTCCCAATGTTTCTTTTGGTTCTTATCCAGTGAGCAATTGCAGGTAAAACAGAGTCAGAAATTATATTGTAAATAAGAACATATGTATTTTAAGGCAATGCTGAAAGGTCGACCAAATTTGTACGAGGTCGAAAAAGCAGTCTGCTCAATTCATGACAACATTTGATTAATATGAAAATTCTACAGTTTATATGTGCAAATTGAAAGTATGGCACCCTGCGGACAACAAAAGAGCAACACTGAATTGTTAGAATTAAGATAAAAGCTTATAAAAAAAGTTATTCACTTTTAAAGATTTCATGTAGATTTGCACATCTACATGAAATCTTTAAAAGTGAATAACTTTTTTTATAGGTTTTTATCCTAGTTCTAACAATTCAGTGTTGCTTTTTTGTGTTGTCCACAGGGTGCCATACTTTCAATTTGCACATATAAACTGTAGAATTTTCATATTAATCAAATGTTGTCATGAATTGAGCAGA